GAGCAAGAGCAAGACCACATATCTACTAAAAGTAGAAAAACTAGCCAGGCGTTGTGGTGCGTGCCTGTAGTTCCACTACTCAGGAGGCTGAAGCAGGAGGGTCACTTGAGCCTAGGATTTTGAGGTTTTTGTGAGCTATGACACCATGGCACTCTACTCAGGGCAACAGAGTAAGACTGTGTCTCAAAAGTACATGAGTAAATAAATAGGAAAATTTGTAAGTATATTTACAATGACCTTTTTCAACAGAACTGGCTTTTTTTTTTTTTAATTGAGACAGTCTCACTTTGCGGCTCTTGGTAGAGTACCGTGGCGTCACAGCTCACAGCCGCCTCAAACTCTTGGGCTTACGTGATTCTCTTGCATCAGCCTCCCTAGTAGCTGGAATTACAGGCGCCCACCACAATGCCTGGCTATTTTTTAATTTTGTTTTAGCAGGCCCGGGCTGGGTTCAAACCCACTAGCCAGCCGCAGTGCATGTGGCCGGTGTCCTAACCACTGAGCGATGGGCACCCAGCCAACCTTTCCAACTGTTAAGTTTTGTGAGACTTACATACAGATCAAGTATTTCTCATGAAGAGTTGGCATCCAAACGAGAATGGGCTGGAAATGCAAATTACATACTGGCTATCACAAACTTAGTGCATGAAAAAGAATATAGTGTATCATTAATAATTTTAAAATGTTAATCCACGTTGAAATGATAATATCTGGATATATTGGGTGAAATGAAATCTATTATTTAAGGCAATTCACCTACTTCTTTTTACTTTACTTTTTTTAGTAAGGCTACCGGATAATTTAAAATCGCCCATTACTCTGAAAGGCTGGAGTAGAGATTGGACATGGCTTCCAATGGTTTTCAAATGCATAGAGATTACAAAAGAATCTCTTATGGTTTTTCAAATTTCTTCCATCAAAGCGCTTGAAGCTGGAGGTTGTGGCGTCTGCAGGTGTGAGGCGTTTAGAGCTCCAGCCAGGATAATCCAGGTTGTTTGCAATGACCACCTGGGAAAGAAGATCTGAGTTAAATGGAACATCGATGACACCACTGGGGACCTTAAAAAGCTGTTTGCAGCCCAAACTGGCACCCACTGGAACAAGATTGTCCTTAAGAAGTGGTACATGATTTTTAAGGACCACGTGTCTTTTTTTTTTTTTTGAGACGGGGCCCCAAACTATCCCCCTGGGTAGAGTGCCATGGCATCATGCTCACAGCAACCTCCAACTCCTGGGCTCAAGCGAGTCTCCTGCCTCAGCCTCCCAAGTAGCTGGGACTACAGGCGCCCGCCACAACGCCTGGCCATTTTTTGGTTGCAGCCATCATTGTTGTTTGGCGGGACCGGGCTGGGGATTCGAACCCGGCACCTTAGGTGTATGTGGCTGGCACCTTAGCCGCTTGAGCCACAGGCGCCGAGCCAGGACCACGTGTCTTTAGGGGACTATGAAATCCATGATGGGATAAACCTGGAGCTTTTTGGCACTAGAGCAGAATTCTTTGCCCCACCCTACCCTTCTTCCCCCGCCCCCCACTACACACATTGGTATGGATGCTTTTTTTTTTTTTTAATCATCCATTTGAGCCAGGAGAAGTGGCTCAGACCTGTAGTACCACCTGCTCAAAGGCTGAGCTATTATTGTGCTACTGCATGCCAGCCTAGGGTGCCGGGTAAGAACTGCCACTAAAAAATATATATATATATATATGTATCACTCATTTGGCTAGCGCAGTTAAAAGGAAAAAAAAGTCACAGCATGCAGTTTTCATGTTGGCCACGAGGTGGCAACCTTATCCCAGGCTGTGGTTTCAGCCTCCCAAGAGACCAGTGGGTGAAGCAGGCGGCAGAGGCAGGTTTTACCCCTCTGTATAAAGGTAACTTACCCAAGTTTGTGCTTGCTGCTCCGTTTTACATTTATTGATAAGAGAACTGTTGACCTGGACTCCCTTGCCACAAGGATTCAAAAATTCCCCTCACCGCTCAGCGCCTGTAGTTCAATGGCTAGGGCGCCAGCCACATATACTGGAGCTGGTGGGTTCAAATGCAGCCCGGGCCTGCCAAACAACAATGACAACTAAAAACCAAAACCTAGCTTGCTGTTGTGGTGGGCACCTGTAATCCCGGCTACTTGGGAGGCTGAGGCAAGAGAATCACTTAAACCCAAGAGTTTGTGGTTGCTGTGAGCTGTGACGCCACTGCACTCTACCCAGGACAACATAGTGAGACTCAGTCTCAAAAAAACTTCCCTATAATCTTTGGGGACAAACTGGTCAGAGATCTGTCAACCTTTCTTGCACAACAGTTACAGTTTACAATTTGAGCTTCCATTGTTGCTGGAAAACCACGAATTAAAACAGACATTTATAGTAACAATATACAGGAAGGAACATTTAATTGCCAGCAATAACTCCAGTGCCTCAAGTTGTAAAATGCTTTCCTTTCATTTTTAACTCCAAACTTAGGAAAAAAGATTTATACAAAGTCTCAGTCAAGCTTCTCTGAAATTCTGTGATGTTAAAAGAATTAGGTGTTTAACTTAACCTTAAGATTCTGTCCAAACAGTGGGGTAGGGCAATTAAACTTGATCTCCCAATGGCAGAGAGATTATGGAATATTCTGGGAGTTGTATTTTACCTTCTACTTCAGAGATGGAGCCACAAAAGCAGGTCCATTGTCAGAGCCTATGTAAAGACGTAGGCCAGGTGGTGGCACCTGTGGCTCAAGGAGTAGGGCACCAGCCCCATATACTGGAGGTGACAGGTTCAAACCTGGCCCCGGCCAAAAAAAAAAAGAGGTAGGGCATATTCAGAGACAATTTCTCTAAGTAGAAATTGGGCTTTTTCATTTTGAGTAGGAAAATCTTCAACTCACCCTGAATTATACCAGCAGATACTTCCTCTGCTTGGAGGCATTTCAGTAAAGTTCACCTGAATGTTTTCAAAGGGTGTAGTTCTTAATACTTTGAATAACTGGTAGCAGAAGGCGGGGCAGGGGGGCTTGTTTGGCATTAAATTGGCTACAGGTGACACATTTTTGACTTATTGTTTTTGCCAAGTTTGCTAGATGTTTCACATAAAAATACTTTCCTAATAGTTGTTCCAGAGCGGAATGCCCTCGATGGGTGGACTCGTGCACAGCCTGCCCTACAGTAGTTCCCAATAATTCTGGCACAACTATTCTTCCATCTGGTAAACGCATCCAACCATCATCTATGGCCAATGCTTGCTCTTGTGCTAACCACTCCAATTCTTTTTTGCTGTATACAGGTGTTACATCTGGGACCCAAGGGAGTAGGGCTGTGAATATACGTTGACTTGCCATTACCCCGCATGCTTCAGCATCTGCTTTAGTATTCCCTAAAAAGACATGTCCTTGCCCCGTTTGGTGACCTTTGCAATGCATTACTGCCAACTTGCTGGGTTTCCAAACAGCCTTCAATAAGTTTTATATTTTTTAGTTTTCCAGCTGACTTTAATAGTCCTTTTTTTAGTTTAGAGACAGTCTCACTTTGTCGTCCTTGGTAGAGTGCTGTGGCGTCACAGCTCACAGCAACCTCCAGCTCTTGGGCTTAGATTCTCTTGCCTCAGCCTCCCGAGTAGCTGGGACTACAGGCACTCACCACAACACCTGGCTATTTTTTGTCGCAGTTTGGCCGGGGCCAGGTTTGAACACGCCACAGTCAGTATATGGGGCTGGCGCCCTACCCACTGAGCCACAGCCGCCACCCCAAATTCCTTTTCTTCTATACAGTGCACCATGCACATGCAGGGTTAAAAAGGCATACTTTGAATCAGTATAAATGTCTGTCTGTTTTAACTTGCAGTTTTCCTGCAACACAATAAAGACAATAATTTCAAGGTGGGGCACAGTGGCTCATGCTTATAATCCCAGTACTCTAGGAGGCTGAGGCAGGTGGATTGCCCAAGCTCAGGAGTTTGAGGCCAGTCTGAGCAAGAGCAAGACCTCATTCTCTACTTAAAAAAAAAAAAAATAGAGGCCAGGTGCGGTGGCTCACACCTGTAATCCTAGTACTCTGGGAGGTCGAAGTGGGTGGATTTCCTGAGCTCACAGGTTTGAGACCAGCCTCGTCTCTAAAAAGCCAGGCGTTGTGGTGGACACCTGTAGTCCCACCTACTTGGGAGGCTGAGACAAGGGGATCTCTTCAGCTCAAGAGTTGAGATTACTGTGAGCTGTGATGCCATAGCACTCTACTGAGGGCTACAAAGTGAATACAAAGTGAAACTCTGTCTCTAAAAAAAAAAAAAGGAAAAATAGGAAAACTAGCCCAGCATTGTATTGGGTGCCTATAGTCCCAGCTGTTCTGGAGGCTGAAGCAAGACGATCACTTCAGCCCGGAGTTTGAGGTTGCTGTGAGCTGTGATACCATTGCACTCTACCCAGGAAGACTGAGTGAGCCTCTGTCTCAAAATAATAATAATAATAAAAAGGACAGTAATTACAATGGGCTCTCAATTATCTACATGCATAAGTTTATAATGATTCTAAAAACCAAAAACTAATTGTGTCACCTTTGGACCATGACAGGGGACAAATTCATCGTCTTAACAATTGGCAAAGGAAAAGGAAGTGTTTCTCCTGCAGGTCCTGTATGGACAGTACCACTGTTGGGTGGACAGGAGGCATCTCCGTGGGAGTATTTCAGGAAATACATGAGAAAGAAACGTTAACATAGAGATGCCACCATCTTGCAGCCCCCCAAAGAACTGATGGCTGCAGGCCTTCAGCATCAGTGTGGCTAACCTCACAGTAAGAGGGGAGAACCAGCTCCGCCTGCAGCCTGGCCAGAGGGACGGAAATTGAGCCTGGTCAAGCACCAGATCCAGCTGCCCAGACACAGAGTCCCGAGCAGGAATGAGCTACACAGACACAGCTTCCTGGGTTACGTCAGCCTTTCAGCCTGGGTTACTGTGCAGCCCCTTGGTGGGAGAGAGAGCTCCAGCCCCTTGGCCCTGGGCCCCAAGGAGAGACACATGCAGTGCGTCAGAGATTCTGAACAGATGCTTTTAATGGGGAATCATGGGGTGGGGGTGGCAGAAGCCTCAGGCTCAGTTGGCGGCCAGGATCTCCTGAACCCAGGGCATAAGCGCGGTGACGCGGGCATACACGGCGGGCGTGGTGGTGGAGCAGGTGCCGCTGCCCCAGGACACGATGCCCACCAGGGTCCAGGCTCCGTCCTTCTGGCAGACCAGGGGGCCGCCGGAGTCACCCTGTGGGAAGGAGAAAGGAATGTCTCCACCCTGAAAGGGTGCCCTGACCTGGTGACATGCAGGGAGGAGTCAGAGAGGTGACAGTGTGGGCCCAGGGCTAGGCCTAAGTTTTTCAGGTCTGGGTCCCCAGGGCAGTCGCAGCTCTGCTATTGATTCCTGGGGGCAGTGGTGTCCCTTAGCTTGGTCACTGCTTGTCACATGGGCATCTGTGAGCCTCAATCCTGCCTTTGATAGGCTCCAGGAAGGAGTGAGGTTAGCAGATGAGGGAAGAAGGGCGCCCGGGCCTCCAGGATATGGGTCCTGTGGTCCCCTCGCTCAACCAGGGTGTTGGTAAGGTCAGTGGTACAGGTGGGGCAGCCCAAGTGAGCCTTACCATGCAGGAGGAGACGCCACTGGCCCCAGCGCAGATCATCACATCAGTGATCTTGCTGCCCCAGAACTTCTTGCATTCAGTGTTGGACAGGAGGGGCAGGGCTGCCTGCTGCAGCTTGTCAGGGGTCTGGGGGGCTGCAGGGTGGGAGGGGGCAGGTCAGGGCCCTCGGTCCACTGCAGTGAGGGGACCAGGCCCCGCCATGCCTGCCTTCCCTCCCCTGCCACCTTCCTCTTCAACATGGCCATGTGGTGGGAATGTCCCCCAGAGCCTAAACATGCCTATGGGACACAGCTCCCTTCAGAGGCCACACCAGGTGGGGAGTCTGGGTTCCCAGCCTGGAGAGCAGCCTGGGCTGGCCCTGGCACCGTCACCCACCATCACCTACCACAGGGGAGCCGAGGCGGGGGCACACTGAGGGGCTTCTCCAAAAATTGGCTATTGGGGTGCACATGTGTTCGGCCTGTTTTTATTTCCTTTGGTAGATTTGAATTCAGTAAACCAAAGAGCAGATCTATGACTGTGTTGGAATTCAGACCAAACCAGGAGAGCCAGCGGGTCACCCTAAGACTCTCCTGCCAGGCAGCCCCAAACCCGGGGCAGCCCCTGGTCTGGGGAGGCCCCACACACCCACCATTGTACTTGGTCTTGCCCCAGCCTGTGGTGGCACACAGAGTCCCTGCGGGGAAGTCGTCATCAGCGCTGGGCAGGCACACAGCGGACACCGTCTGGGAGAAGCGGGCGGGCGTGGCCAGCTTCAGCAGGGTGATGTCATTGCGCACGGTGAATATGCTGAACTTGGGGTTCTTGAAGACCTGTGGGGGGACCAGACGCCCAGTTGAGCCTGGAGGCTGGGGAGCTGCAGCCTTCAGGACACCAACTCCTTCCTGGAGGCCCAGTCTGGACAGAGCCAGGGAGCCAGATGAGGACCCTGAGCCTACCTCAACAACCCCACTCCCACCACCCCAGCCACCCAGGGATCCTCCCCTCCTGCTTGGTCAACCCCCTGACCCCCGGCCAGCTCCAGCCCCCTGACCCTCGACCCCTCGGCTGAGCCTCTGCAGAACAAACAAACCTTGGCAATCTTCAGGACCTGGATGTCCTCCTCATCAGAGCCCTGGTCAAACTCCCCAGCCACCACCACATCAGAGGTCCTGGACAGGACAATCGGGGTGAGACCTGGGAACACACCCACTCTCCTCCCACCCAACCAGAGCCCGAGGCTGCCCGGCCCTCACTTGACCCCACAGTGGGCAGCGGTGACCACCCAGTCCTCGCTGATGAGGGAGCCCCCGCAGAAGTGGAAGCCGGTTTTGTCCTGGGGAGAGAGATGGGAGGATCAGCAGCTCCCCAGCCTGGCCCCCACCCCAGTGCTCACCCCGCATGCTTGAGACACCCTTCTCACCTGTAGGGACACCTGCCAGGGCCAGGAGCCGGGGATGGCGTCCTCGCCGTTGACGATCCTGGACAGGCCACTGACCACAGGGTGGATGGCGGGGACCCCGCAGCCTGGGAGTGGGAGTGGGGTGAGAGGTGAACACCAGCTGACTCATTTTCCCCCTGGGACCCAGTGTGGTTCCCACCTCCCTCCTCTGAGAAGTCAGCCCTGACTCCCTGCCCCAGCCTCTGGTGGCAACTCTGGGCACTTGGACACAGAGGAATGGGACTCTGTCCCCACCTCAGCCAGGCAAGCCAAACTGGTGGGTGTGAGGTATGCTGCAGGCCCATAGCCAGGGCTGGAAGTCTGGACTCTGGGTTTGAGCCTAGGCTCCACCACTGCTCATCTACGTGGAGTCTCAGTTTCCCCATCAGGAAAATGGGTATCACACAGTGGCCGACCTCACTGCTGTGGTGGGAAGATCCCACGTGCCCAGACAGCCCCAGCTCTGTGCACAGCAAGCACTCCATGAACAGGAATTTAAAAGGGCAGGACGCAAGGTCCCAAAAAGTTTGAGTTAGAAGGTGCCAAGCCACCACTGCCTGCATGCCCCAGCCAAGCCTGTGTGGGAAGCTCCAGCTGCTCAGAGAATTTTCTGAAGGCCTTGGAGAGACCCCAGGGATGTCTACTTCCTCCCCTGGGAGCCTCAATTTCTCAGCGCCCTACTGCAGAGGTGCCATTAAGGCTCAGGGACAGGGTGAGTTGCTCAGGCTCACACCACTGTGCACAGCTGAGCTGGGAGCAGGGACCCCGCTGCCCCTTGCTGGTCTTGGGGACAGGGGTGAGAGGCGCAAATGTCCTGCCTCTACAGGGCCCAGTACTCACCAAAGGTGGTGCCCAAGAGGGCCCAGCAGGAGAGAAGCCAGAGGAAAGACATGGTGGAGCTGTCTCAGAGGTTGAGGACGCCTACCTGGGGGCCCTCCATTATATACCTGTGCACCAGGCTGTTATCTGGAGACCTTGGGGCAGTGATCCCTGACCTGGGAAGTGCCCAAGTGGTCAGAGTGTGCCAGAGCAGGGCTGGCGTGGGAGCCTGGGATGGTAGCAGCTGCAGTCCCCAGCTGAGCTGGGGCTGAACAAGATGGCCTTCTCCCCACAGCTTCCCTCCTCCAGGCCCTGCCTCCTGAGGGATGCTCGTGGGGATGAGTCCAGAAGCCCTGGTTTGAGCCCCCAGACTGCTCTCTCCTGGTCTGAGGACCTGCAACAAAGAATTTAATTGATCTGCTGGTGTTAGAACCCCGCTGGGCAGGGTGGTGACAGTGGGGAGAGGCCTGCCTGCTCCCCAGAGTGTGGGACGAAGCCTTGAGTGGGGAGGCCAGGGGCTGACGGTGCCCCACCTGGTGTCAGGACAGCTAAGAAGTGACAGCTCAGTCAATGTCTGTGGCAGTCTCCTGGGCTGTGTGCAGAGTGGCTGGGAGGGATAAGTTGCCCTCCACACAGCCGCTGGCCCTGCACACGGCACCTGTGTTCAGGGGCCCCTGGAGCTGAGCACGGGACATCCCAGAGCAAGACAGGGCTTGGGGACCAGCAAGGGGCCCTCCTGTCACCCGATGAGAGCTGACAGAGGCTGGACCTCAAGATATAGTGGAGGCCCTGGAGACCTGGCTCCTGGTTTGAGTGGCAGGGTAGGTGGTGGAGCCTTTTCCCAACTAGTGGGAAACTGCGGAGAAGAAATTTTAGATCAAGGCTGCCAGACATTCAGGGAAGATTCCCCCAAATGCACAAGAAAAATGCCTTGTGGCTGTTTTCTTTGTTTGTTTTGCAGTTTTTGTCCGGGGCTGGGTTTGAACCCGCCACCTCCGGCATATGTGGCCCGTGCCCTACTCCTTTGACCCACAGGCGCCGCCCTAGTGGCTGTTTTTATAAATTTCTATCCATCGATGACGGTGAGGTGTTTGTTCACTGCATAGGTTCTGTGTCAAGCAGCTGTGGCCCCTCCGGCAAATTACTTACCCTCTCTGATCCTGTTCCTATATATGTAAATAGGGACACTTATAGCTTGGGTCCTATGTGACCAAACAACCCCACCCATCTGGAGAGCTCGAGGACCAGGCCTAACACATAATCCACGCTGGTGGGTCCTTCATATTTATCTTTCTTCAACTCACCCCCTTTGCTCATTCTAGAAGATTCTCTAATGACAAGGAAGGCAACAACGTATTAGGCAGAACAGCAGAACAGAAAACCGGTGTGTGGCCTGGGCCACGCTCTCCAGTCTGAACTGGAACAGCCCAAACAAAATGAGAGAAACACAAATTCCTGCGTTTAGCAAGCGTATGTGGGCAAGGGCGGGAGAGTTTATTTGAAAAATAAGTAAAATATACACCACCAGCTAAGGGGCTGGGAGGCCTCACTTTGAAGGGGACAGTTGAGTAAACGATCTAAGAGTCAGCAGAGTAGCCAGGTGCATCTCAAGGTGGAGACGTGCCCAGACACAGGGAGCAGAAAGGCAGGCACCTGGGTGTGGCAGGAAGTTCAAGGAGGCCCTTGTAGCCCACGGGGACTGGAAATAAGGTGGGTGGAGAGGTGAGGGCAGAGCAAGGAGGGCCCTGGTGCAGACAAGACACTGGTTTGGATGGGGGAGAGGACGCGGCAGCCCCCAAGCCAACCTGTGGCTGTGGCCTTGGGAGCTGACAGCTGGCGAGGCCCTGCCCACCACGCCCCTCCCACCCCAGAGTGGGCTGCCCAGGCATGTGGGAACCAGTGCAGCTGTGGTGGGGCGGGGAGTTGGCCCCTACAAGGGATCCCAACCCCTAATTCAGAGGAAAGAGCCCAGGGGCGGAGAGTCAGGTGCTGGGGAAGTGGAAAGTGCCCACCAGGAGACAGCTGAGACGCAACTGGCTACCTGCTTGGAATAAGAGCGCTGGGAAAAAACCAGCAAATGCTAAAACTTTGATAAATCGCCCTGGTCTAGGACTTAATGTGAATTCCTTAGGCTCAGAGCTGGGGGCTGACGCTCAATGAGGACCCCATTCCCTGGTCCCAGGTGGTGACAAAGGAACGTGAGGTGTCAGAAAGCGTCAGTACCAATTAGGAAAACGCTGCTGGCCCACCCATCTGTGTCCTGCAAAGTGTGGCTGGCCCAACCCTGCCCGGGATGGCCACCTCCCACTTCCCACCTCCCTGCAGATGGAGGTCAGGCCTGGGGGACCCTGTCCTGAGAGGCCTGGCCACTGCTCCCACTGCAGGACAACTTACAGCCCTAAAACAAACCTAAACTGAAGACAAAACTTCAAAAGGAATCAAGCACACATCAACAGTATTGCTTTAACAAGCCCAGTGACTGTCCTGCTCACTCAGACCAGCTTTGCCCAGGGGAACGTGGCCCTGCTGGCCAGACCCCCAAGGCCTCTGATGGAGACCCCTGGATCTTTTTTTCAAACCATCCTGTTGTGTGAGGCAGGTGTCGTCTGGAGCGGCTGCATGCCCCATTCTTGTGCAGCCGTACCCAGCGACCTGGTTGCTGTGTCCCGGTCTCACAGGTGTAGTGTCTGTGTCTGTCACCAGCACTTGGGCCCACAAGGGCAAGGGTGCATGGGCTCTGTCACCCAGGTTCAAGGGCTGTCCCCAGGGCACTGAGAGTCCCTCAGCCTTTGCCTCCTGCTCACAGTCATCAACCTGTCACCCAGACCTGTCTTTCCTCATTGTTCTGTGACAAGGACAAGAGTTTGTTTTCTGCGTCATTTTGTGGTATGGAACCAAATCTCCGTTTATTAGAAATTAAACTTTATACAATGATTGGTTCATTAAGACATGAATAGTCACAGAAAGAGGGAATTCTACCAAGCAGACGGGGCGCCCTATCAGTGAGGTTTGCTCACCCTCGTGCCACCAGCCCCCAGCCACTGGCCAGGCAGCTCTTGCTCACCCGCGCCCTAACCACGCTCGGAAACCACTTGGTTGGACTGGTAGTGGACAAGGTGGAGCTCTGGACAACCCAGGGTACCGTGCTAGCCTGAGAACCTAGGCCATGGCTGTGGCCCTGGGGAGCCCCCCTGCTTTGAAGCCTGGGGTGGGGCCACCTCCTGTCCCTGCAGGGAAGCCCCACTCTTGCACAGGAACAGAAGAGCCCACTCTGACACCCAGGCCCTGAGGGTGCTGGGCATTGCCAAGGCTGGTAGGTGGTAGGTGACATGGGCACAGGGCAGCTGCCCCTTTCCCAGGGGCTGGTGTGTCCCTGGCTGAGAGCCAGCAGGCCGTGCAGAGGGCTTGGCCCTCACTTATCACCCAAGGTCCCTAGATAACGGAAAGGGTAGTCCTCAGACCTTGGGGCTGGGCAGGGCCTGAGGGGCTGGGAGGGACCCGGGGGTATACAGGATGAAAAGGGGCCCCACAGTAGCAGACCCACATTTCCCTGACTGGAGCACAATGGCCTTTCTTTGGCTTCTCTCCTGCTTTGCCCTCCTGGGGGCCACCTTTGGTGAGTGCTGAGCCTGTGGCCACTGAGTCAGGAAGGCTGGAAGGAGCCGGTCCCATCTGGCCTGAGGGGGTCTGTCCTGAGGGAGCCCCAGGACCTGGCTGAGAGGGAGATTGTACTTTCATCACCCCTGGGGTGCAGGAAGGAGAGGAATGCCTCTGAGGCATTCTGAGCCTTACTTCTGGGCTCTGCTGGGGTCTGAAACTCTAGAGGGGGATGCTATGGCAAGGGAAGGTGTGACCAGAGGGGACCTCCCAAGGCGTCCACCTGGGGATTTTATTTATTGTGCCTGCACTTGCTAAATATTTTGTTTTCTATTTTAAAGAAAAAAAAAAGAAATAGTAAAAAATATATAGAAAGAAAATATGACATTTATGCATCTATTATTGGAATTTAGCAAATCTTATTTTTTTGCAGATTTGCCTTAGGTACTTCTTTAAAATATAAAATAGGTTAGGTACAGTGGCTCACACCTGTAATCCTAGCAGTCTGGGAGGCAGAGGCAGGAGGATCATTTGAGCTCAGGAGTTTGAGACCAGCTATAGCAAGAGTGAGACTGCGTCTCTACTGAAAATAGAAAAATAAGCCAGGCATTGTGGCGGGCACCTATAGTTTCAGCTACTTGGGAGGCTGAGGCAGGAGGACCCCTGGAACCCAAGAATTTGAGGTTCAGCTAAAGTTTCCCCCTCCTTCCCTCTCTGGAAGGTAAACCTCTTTCCAATCTTGTTGTATCACTCCTATGTGTGTTTATATTACAAATGTTCTCTCTCTCTCTCTCTCTCTATACACACACACACACACACACATATATATATATATATATATTATTTATTTATTTATTTTTTTTTGAGACAGAGCCTCACTTTGTCACCCTGGGTAGAGTGCCATGGCCTCAGCCTAGCTTACAGCAACCTCAAACTCCTGGGCCTAAGAGATCCTCCTGCTTCAGCCTCCCAAGTAGCTGGGACTGCAGGCACTTGCTACACCACCAGCTTGTTTTTCTATTTTTAGTAGAGATGGGGTCTTGCTCTGGCTTAGGGTGGTCTCAAACTCCTGAGCTCAAGCAATCCACCTGCCTCAGCCTCTGGGAATGCTAGGATTACAGGTGTAAGCCACTGTGTCCGGCCTTTCTCCATATGTATAAACCCACGAACCATGCATAGGTTTTTAGAAATTTACATAAACAGCATTCTGAACTCTGTGCCAGTGTGTGTGTGCTGTTTCCCACTCCCATGCTGTCTGATTTCTCTGTGTCGATAGAAGATCCAGCTCGTTCACTTGTGTCACTATGAGGCGCTCTCTCTCATGTGACTTTATCAGCATTGATTTCTCATTTTTTTTGCTAGTACAAGTTTTATTTTTCTTCTTTTTTTCTTTTTCTTTTTCTTTTTTTTTTTTTTTTTTTTGAGAGTCTCATTCTGTCACCCAGGCTAGAGTGCAGCAGCAGCACCAGCACTCACTGCAACCTTAAACTCCTAGGCTGGAGTGATC